CAGTTTTTTGTTGTTCTTGTATTGAAGGTCCACATTCTCTTTAAAGCATCTTTGTAAAAATATCACATTATGAGCATTATGTGATTAAAATTGAAGCATACCAGAATTAATCAGTGGGTTATGTGAATTATCAGAGACCATTCCTGAGGAAACATTAATGTCTTAAAAAAAAAAGGTGACTGAAAAGGCCTGTTCTGAAACTATAAACAGAAAAAAAAATTTATAATGCATTTAAAAACAATTGCCTTGTGACAGAGCTTCTCTTTACATATAAAGGCTTCAATTTCTTGGTACAGATGAAGGAAACTCTAATTAAACAAAAAGAAAAACAATCACCTGAGTGGCCAGATCATGGCAGTATAAAAATAGAGTTGCTGAAATCCCATTATTCAATATATCATTGGTCCAGACACTTAAGAGATTATACAAGATCAAAACAAAATGAAAACGGCTTTTATTGTTCTTGTCTGTCTCCTTGTGGTGGAGGTGAAAGGTGAGCTCGCTCTCATATAAATAACGTTTTATGTTTGTTGTGTGATATTTTCAAATATGAATTCTAAAACTGATCTGAAATTAACACTGGGTTGTTTCAGGCTACACTGCCTATGAAGGGCAGATGCATTTGTGCTGATAGAGGAGTGAATAAAATCTCTTGAAAGGCAATCGAGAAGGTTGAAATCATCCCTTCAAGTCCTTAAAAGACTGGAAATTGTGTAGGGTAAGCACTATATTTTTGTTTACACATAAATGCTTTGTCTTAGATATCAAATAACTGCCTATGTTCTTTGTGTCTTGTTTGTGAAGTGTATCTCTGAAGAGAGGAGCATTGCAGAAATGTCTGAATCCAGGGTCAAAATTTACCAAGAAGTAAATTCTTAAAGTCATTCAAAAAAAGGTCAGCATGCAAATATATGTGTTTCCTTAATATTTTATTGAGTTTAAAGCTATAAACCTCAGGCCTGTGCAGTGAGACAGTCTCTAACTGAAATAAATGCTAGGACAAAATTTACTATTAATTCTGTCTTGTCTTAGCAGAAACAAACAAAAGCCTGCACTAGGAATCAAGCATAGAGCCGATGTCCTGATCCTGTGAAATCAGTAACCAGATCTTTAACACTAGAACCGCCAGGGGGTCGCTGTATACCTAAAAGCGCCAGCGGGTAAATTTTACCCACGCACATGACAACTGAATTTATATGGCTAAAGAACCTATTATTTCACTGTATTATGCCACTGTCTTCACAAAGAAGTGTATAGAGTCATGAAATGATTATGTCTAGTCACAAACTACATTTTTATCTTGTTGTTTTATGTTCAAGACTTTTTAATGCAGGCTACACTAATCCATAATGATCAGTAGACTAAGCTAAAAAAAAAAAGTCTGCACTGACAACGGTAATTAGAAGGTAGTAGCCTAAATATTTGGGTGGTTTAATATTATAATACAATGTCATTAATCAATATATTAAGGTAACCCATGCTATTTAAATGACTAAAACAGCCTATAGACAAGAATGAGCAATAATAATTCACCACACTGCATAGGATGATGCAATGAAAAAATCAAGAGCACAGCTTCACCTAAATATTAGAGTCATGAAATGATTATGTCTAGTCACAAACTACATTTTTATCTTGTTGTTTTATGTTCAAGACTTTTTAATGCAGGCTACACTAATCCATAATGATCAGTAGACTAAGCTAAAAAAAAAAAGTCTGCACTGACAACGGTAATTAGAAGGTAGTAGCCTAAATATTTGGGTGGTTTAATATTATAATACAATGTCATTAATCAATATATTAAGGTAACCCATGCTATTTAAATGACTAAAACAGCCTATAGACAAGAATGAGCAATAATAATTCACCACACTGCATAGGATGATGCAATGAAAAAATCAAGAGCACAGCTTCACCTAAATATTTATTAATTTGTTTAGTTATATCATTTATAATTTGAATAAGAGAACAACTTCATTAAACTTTGGGTAATCAAAAAATGGTTTCATTCATTACATCATATAGATCTGATTTTTTTCTTCTTCAGGAAATGGCCAGACTAGAATATTTGGGTGGTTTAATATTATAATACAATGTCATTAATCAATATATTAAGGTAACCCATGCTATTTAAATGACTAAAACAGCCTATAGACAAGAATGAGCAATAATAATTCACCACACTGCATAGGATGATGCAATGAAAAAATCAAGAGCACAGCTTCACCTAAATATTTATTAATTTGTTTAGTTATATCATTTATAATTTGAATAAGAGAACAACTTCATTAAACTTTGGGTAATCAAAAAATGGTTTCATTCATTACATCATATAGATCTGATTTTTTTCTTCTTCAGGAAATGGCCAGACTAGAATAGCAACACAGTAGCGAACAATAAATGATACAGCAAGACAAAAATTAAACAATTAAACCAAAGTTTGACCAAAAGTTTTCTTCAAGTTCTCACTTTACCCTATTCTCCCAATTATGAGTATGCTGTGAAAGAGGAATTATTGAGATCACGTCAAGCACATGTCATGTAGTACTTTCCCATCTGAGAATCAAATATGAAATACATTATCAGTTTCATTTGACTATGCATTCAAAAATTAAGTAATTTAATGTATTAAAGCACAGTACTTTAATGGGAGACACTTCTGTCTTGAACACTAATAACTAATTATATTAATAATATATATTTTTTAAATTCTCTCTCTCTCTCTCTCTCTCTCTCTGAAATGTATGCTGCCTGTTTAGTATAAAGCAGAGCATTTCTCAGAAGTGCTTAGCTCTAGAGGAAGTCTCACGTGGCTGCATGTTATCAAAATGCAGCAGCAAGCACAGAAAGACCTTGCATTAAATTTCCTGTCCTACTGATTATTGCTCAGAATATATCAATGTGGGTGCAGTTATAACTCTGATGCAGTGCCTGTTTATCGGTCTTGTGTAAGTCCTCTACTTGTATGATGAATAAAAGTGATCTCAGTGTGCTTTGCATTCATTTGTGACATACAGTATCTCCCTTTTTATGAACAATATTCAGAGCAGACAACAGATTTAGGGTAATTTGCTTTGGTTTGTTATTTTTCCTGAAGAATTTTAAAAAGTTAATAATAAGGTTACATTATAAAAAAATGGAGAGAAAGTTAATACTGAAAAAGTCTGGATTTTAAAAAGTGCTTTTTAATGACTCGCAGCAGTAAATGTTGCAATGCAAAAGGCAGAGAAACCCCCTTAATTTTCCATTATCAGTTGTTGAAGTACAGGCTACATTTTTGAGTGAAAAAAGGGAAAATAAGGGGAAACCCATAACCCCATGTAGACACAGACATACATTTCTAGCTGGCATGTCTCCAAATTAGGCAAGTGCAGGATGGAGACTTTGCTGAGTAATACTGAAACTTTCTTACCATGTCACCACCATATTAAAGATGTAAGAATAGTGAAATCAAAAGTAAATTTTTCTTTAAAGTAAGTACCTTGATTTCTATTCTAAATATTTTTCAAACTACAGCATTTGGTGATCAGACATTTCCTAGTAGGCTATATTCGCTGATGGTGCAGTGCTGTATACACGGTTGCCAAGTCCTTTTAATGGAAAGCAGGTAAAGCCTGCTTGAAAAGTTGCTAAATGTCACTATATGATTGATTTCATACACAAAAATACACTGAAAAAGTCTATTTTTTTTAGTTTTTCTCTGACACAGTACACAGGCTCAGCTGAATCTACTGTCATCAGAAAGAGATGTGCTTTGCTGGGTAATGATAACATTGCTGAACGCACTGCAAATGCAACAAATAATGCATTTTTGTCACATAGAAGCATTGAATTTTCTCACCCTCATGTTGTTCCAAACCGTATGACGTAGCCTACTTTCTTCTGTGGAACACAAAAGAAGATATTTTGTAGAATGTTTCCAAAACATTTTGGTTACCATTGATTTCTACCGTGTGGACAAAACTCTTTTCAAGTTCTCAAATGAAATGATTTATGTTCCACGGAAGAAAGAAATTCATACAGGTTTAGAGTGACATGATGGTGAGTTAATGATGACGATTTTCATTTTTGGGTGAACTGTCCCTTTAAAAACGTTAACATTTGTGAATCGTTAACACCTAACTTATGTAAGACATTGATATTTATCTTTAATCAGGCTCTTATTGAATTCATATTTTACTTCAATTAAAATTCATAATAACTAAACATTAAAAGAGAAAGAAGCTATTAAAGCTATTCTGTTAAACTATCATGACCTTTGTCCTAATGACATTTACTATAATTCTTGCCTAGAATCCACAATTTAACTGACTATAGCTTATTAGTAAGATGGTGGTCACAACAAGTAAAAACGTGGTCCTCATTACCAGGGTTATATGGTTTTTAAAATAAATATGTACATTTCTTCCATTGCTTTTTACAGTTTCGCATGCACTGTATAAGCGCCTATTATGGGGGAGGTCTCCCTCGCTTCTGTGATCTGCCCACTACTCGACTGGCCCACGATGGCCAGTAGGCTACATACCTGGCAGTAGCTAAGTCGCTAGGTTATCAACACTAGCTGTATATCAGACCACTTATCAGGCTGACTGAAAAGGGTGCTACTTCTTGTTGGTGGCTGACTGTTTTAGACTGTTTTTAGCTAAATGTTTATGGTAAATGAATATACAGGAAAAATTACACAATAACACAGAATAAGATGAAAAATGTTAAGATAAAGTGCCCTTTTAAAAAGAAGATTATGAAGAAGAAGAATGTTTCGTACATGCTTCCTTGTATTGAAACATCCATATGTCAAATATTATTTAAACACACACACACACACACACACACACACACATTTTTAGTTAGTTCTTCAATTTAGGGTTGGTATGACGGGCAACATTATGCCAGCTAAGGATGATGTCATTTTTGACAATGGGATTCAAAGGGATTTCCCAAAATATAGGCTATAAAAACTATAAGCTTTTAGATTCAGATTCACTTAGTCTGATGTCACATTGGTCAAACATGAGCCGGTCCATCTTTCTTCTGTCCTTGGTCTTTCTGATCTGCCTGACTTTTACTGAGGGTAAGCTATTTTTCACACCTTATCTTGCTTTTCAGCTGGCTTTTAACGACATTAGGCTTACACTTCGTTTACATTTATTTAGCAAACACGTTTATCCAAAGCGAGTTACAAATTAGACCACAAGCGTTTTAACATTAGGAGGCAAAAGCAAAAGTGCAAGCGATACAAAGTTTTAATTATTATAATACGATAGCCAGAATTATATCACACTCTTTCAGAAAGGGGCCGCGCACCGGACGAGAAGCGCATCGATTCATAATGAGGCTGATCAAAATCCTGTCGCGTCTCAAAGCGCCGCTCACATCGTTTTCCATTAAATTACATTATATTTGTCCCAAATTGTTGTTAATGTACATTATGACTTTGCTATATGCTGAAAGATTGTGTATTGGGCATCTTTCATCTTTTTGTGGCTTGAACTAAGTCTGCTTTCTTCTGTCCTTGGTCTTTCTGATCTGCCTGACTTTTACTGAGGGTAAGCTATTTTTCACACCTTATCTTGCTTTTCAGCTGGCTTTTAACGACATTAGGCTTACACTTCGTTTACATTTATTTAGCAAACACGTTTATCCAAAGCGAGTTACAAATTAGACCACAAGCGTTTTAACATTAGGAGTCAAAAGCAAAAGTGCAAGCGATACAAAGTTTTAATTATTATAATACGATAGTCAGAATTATATCACACTCTTTCAGAAAGGGGGCCGCGCACCGGACGATTCATAATGAGGCTGATCAAAATCCTGTCGCGTCTCAAAGCGCCGCTCACATCGTTTTCCATTAAATTACATTATATTTGTCCCAAATTGTTGTTAATGTACATTATGACTTTGCTATATGCTGAAAGATTGTGTATTGGGCATCTTTCATCTTTTTGTGGCTTGAACTAAGTCTGCTTCTGCTTCATAGTCAGCTGTTATATAATAATGCAGCCTAATTTTTCTTTCAGTTTGTTGTTTTTTCAAAACATATGCTGACACATCGACGCCGCTTTGTTAACTCTTAGTGAACTTGTGCCTGTTTGGTGCTTAGAATAACTGTTTGCCTTCAAATGAACGCGGCGCGTCCGGTGTGCGATACCTGTCCTAGCCGCTACGCGACGCGGCGTTGCACTTCTAGGCGTGCGACCACTTTATAATTAAAACAAGTATCAAACACACTCACACACAGACTTTGCCACATTTAAAAAAAAAATCTATTTGTAACAATTATTCTGTGTAATGAACACATTATATCCTATCTGTGAGTCGTTTTAAAATATATATATGTTGTTTTTTCAAAACATATGCTGACACATCGACGCCGCTTTGTTAACTCTTAGTGAACTTGTGCCTGTTTGGTGCTTAGAATAACTGTTTGCCTTCAAATGAACGCGGCGCGTCCGGTGTGCGATACCTGTCCTAGCCGCTACGCGACGCGGCGTTGCACTTCTAGGCGTGCGACCACTTTATAATTAAAACAAGTATCAAACACACTCACACACAGACTTTGCCACATTTAAAAAAAATCTATTTGTAACAATTATTCTGTGTAATGAACACATTATATCCTATCTGTGAGTCGTTTTAAAATATATATATATGTTTTCTTCATAAGAGTGAGCAGACAAACATGGCCAGCAGATCCAGCAGGCCACTCAGCTAAAGAATAAGTGTAGCATCTAGTTTTATTCACTGTTTTCAGCTTTTTCTTCTTCATCTCTGCTTGTAGGTCAGCGGCTGTTCATAAGCAAGCGATGTCTGTGCTCCAGAACATATGACGGTCTGCGGCCTGGAAACATCAAGGAGTGGAAAGTGCACAAACCAAGTGCATTCTGTAACACCACTGAGATTATGTAATGCTATTTTTTTGTGATGTTTGTGTGTGATCAACAGATATTTTTGATAAGTATAAACTAATTGTTTTATATTTTGCCCACAGTGTGATTTTGAAGAAACCTCACATAAAAGTCTGCCTGAATCCTAATTCAAAACTGGGACGCCAGCTGCAAGAAAATTATGACAGCTGAGCGCCAAGTACACACAAGATCATCCTTTAGATGACTACAAAATAGTTGTTTAAGAAATGTCTAGGGTTCCTTTTGTGATTGCGGCTTTGCAGAGAAGGGGAAATGTGGTGTCTCTCAATAAAAGGGATATAATTAAAAAAAAGATTAGAGTAAGACATTAGCCAATGCCAGCAGAATAATTTAATGATAACCAAGACCCTATATAACAATTTTACTATATATATATATAATCACACACACTCAAACAGATGCACACCTCCCACTTTTCTTTTTTGCAGTTAAATTTTTTAATGACTACAAAATAGTTGTTTAAGAAATGTCTAGGGTTCCTTTTGTGATTGCGGCTTTGCAGAGAAGGGGAAATGTGGTGTCTCTCAATAAAAGTGATATAATTAAAAAAAAGATTAGAGTAAGACATTAGCCAATGCCAGCAGAATAATTTAATGATAACCAATACCCTATATAACAATTTTACTATATATATATATATAATCACACACACTCAAACAGATGCACACCTCCCACTTTTCTTTTTTGCAGTTAAATTTTTTTTTTTTTGCAACTACAATAGAATAAGATTGATCACACTTTCTGAAAAAAGGCTAGGCTATGACACACCCAAAAGACTCTGTAATTAAGTTTAAATGAAAGGTTTTATTAAATTAAGTATTATAAAAAAGGAGAGGCACGAAAGGAAGGAATTAGACTGCCAGCATTCTGCTATTTCTTACATAGTACCATTTTTTTCTTTATGGTCTGAAGATTTTAGGCAGCCACCTACTCGTAGATGCTTTTCTTACACCAAATTAAAATTCAGTAGGATTGGAATTATGAGTCCAAAATTGTATGATGTTCTTTGGGTTTTATGAAATATCCATTCATGTTGAATTAAGGAGGTATCTGGTCAAGCTACTGCCTGTGTTGTTTTCAGTGTTTCCAGTAAAGAAGCTAATGTTTGTCAAAAATATGTTGGTGTAATGTTTAGTCTGTTTATTATGGAGTGTCATTTATATTAAACAACAAAAATCACATTCTTAATATATTTAATAAAACACATGTACACATACAAACACGTGATTTGAGATGATCCAAAGAGCAACATGAGCTTCAATAGAAGACTATTTGACCATCTGTACAGTCACATAATAAATGAATACAAAAATGTCTTAATTTAATTAAATTTAACGATAGCCTAAATAAATGAATCTGAAATATTTTTTATACATTTTCCACCATTTTTATTCAGGTGATCTTTTTCTTGTTGGATTATGTCCCCTGTTGGACATGATTTGTAAAAGCAAAGCTTTGCAATGGCTGCACCAGCTGCATCATGACTTGTTTGAATACATTTGAATAAATAACTCATATTGTAACTGCAGGTTTAAGCATTCCATGTCCCTCTGAGCTGCATTAAACAGTGTGTAAATGCATTTAAATGCCACTTCAGATGCAGCTTCTTTCCTCTGCATTGCAAAGATGAATTTCGTGGATACTGATTTAATTTGCTTGGTAACAGCCCACATGTCTTATTATTCTAATTGACTGATTAAATGTAAGATTTTGCCTCAAAAGATGAACACTTTAAAAATGGCTTTTTAAAGGTAAAAATGCCCATAAAAGGTAAAAAATTATTTAAACTGATAGGAAAAGATTCATTTCTATCACTGCTGTGAACTGACGACCACACAGAATACGAAGAATAACAAAAACTTTAGGAGTCAGCTGTCCAAGATATCGGCACAATAACACACTCAACAAAAATATCGTCTAATTATCGTTATCGACCAAATCCCAGAAAATATCGAGATATCTTTTTTTTTTGTCAGTATCACACACCTCTACTGTTAAGGTAACAATATGACTAATAACACAGACAAAAGGTGTTGAACACCACGCGAAATGTTTTGCTGTTACTGTGGAGATATTTGGATTTCTTATTAAAAATAATATAGAAGACAATACATATTAGAATATAGTAATTAGATCAATCCTTTAGGCGTAGACACCTAGATATTGTCAAAATAAATCCTAATGCATCTTCTGTCTTGCTTTGGGGCTGTGTAATATTCAATGGATAAATGCTGTTTGTTACATCTACCACTAGATGGCAGTATTTTATACGTTTTTTTTAAATTGCAAAACATATGGGCCTAATATATACATTATCAGGAAAAATATGATTGTATCCCTAACAACATTTACATCAACAACAAGACAAACATGGGTTTACGTAGGATACACAGGCATAGCTAAGCACAATAACACAGTTAACGTATTTTTAAACATGTCCTCATAAAACACCAAAAAGTTTGTGCTTTTTTGTTGTTGTTGTTGCTGTTGTTTATAAGTCTAAGGGATGAAATCAGAGAGTTAAGTTCAGCAAGGAAAAATGGAAAGCAGACACCATTTTTGCTTATGGTAAAAGAATTTTGCATACAAAATAAAGAAGTCAACAACATATTCGAGAGAAACATGTTTTGGGTTTTTGTAATAACAGATAATATCTTTGAGGACAAAATTGTGAGCCAGATTTATAGCACCAAAAATATAAAAACTTAAATCAGCCCAAAATCTATTAGTAATGCCACAATCCAAAAATAAATGGGCAGCTGTTTCTTCTGTAAGGCCACAAAATGAACAGTTCTCCTCAATGTCAGAATATTTAGAAATGGAGGAATTAATAGGATAGATTTTATGAAGGATTTTATAATGGACTTCCTTAACCTTGTTAGATATACAAAACATATTTGGTTAAAGCCAGGCTTTCCCCCAAACTATCAGTTATAAACAAATTCCAGTAGAATTGACCTCTGGGAGTAATCTTTCTTTTTATTTGAAAAAGATGGCGGATATGTCTGTTGTTGCACTTCCTATCTAAAATGTTAATACCACCCAAGAGCAAAGCAGGATATATAACATTACTTTTACTAAACATTAAGTGACTTTTAACTAATTGGATTCAACCTGCTGGTATAGCTTTTATCAAAATATTGCAATCTTTTGGTGGAACTGGAAAGGCATGGCAATTCATGCCAAAATCATCTAACACAAAATACAATTAAGATTGTTATTAAACCATTTAGGGGAAAGAAGGGACTTATTTCTGACAGTTATATCAGCATTGTTCCAGAGAAAATCTTTCTGTGGAGAAAAACTATGGACAGAACACAATTTCCAAGAGAGAAGACATCGTTGATGAAAATTAGATAAGGCAGTGGGTAACTTGCTAGGTGAAAAATTACATTTCAATAAGAAACATATTTGTTAAAGATATTATTTAGAATGAAATAGCCTACCATAATGGATCTGCAAGGCATCTCTTCAGCCAGTTTATTTTAAAGGTGTTTATGGTGTCCGCAAATTCTAAACAAATCAAAGCCACTGACACCTCTAGAATTGGAAAGAACTTCTTTGTTTTAATTTGTGGGGCCTATTTTTCCAAATGAAATCTAAAAAAAAAAAAAAAAAGTTAACTTCCTTTATAGCTTTGTCATTAATAAATAGGGAAAGGGCAGGGTATACAAAGCGAGAGAGTCCTTCATAGATAAATGACTCTGAGATGGCAGTATTTTTAAGGTGTCAAAGGCACTGAAGAGCCAGTGACGTGATGTATGGTTATCTTAAAATGAGGAGAGAGCGTTCACAATTTGTAAAAAGCTTTTTTTTTTAAGTTGAACAAAGTAACAAACATGCATATCAATATCACGACAACAAAAATGGGAGGTTGAATATTGGATATGGGATAAGTAATCTCATAAAAGACTCTTCATTTATTAGGTTCCCTGATGAGTATTCTGTGAAGTATGAGTCATATGTGTACTGGAGAAATGAGTGGAGCCTCGTGTGGTCACCTTTGCACCCCCACATGCTAAATATCAGCGCGAGCCCTTGAAGCCTGCAGCATCTATTTCGTGATCGGAAAGTGGAACAAAAGCCTCAATAGGCCTACTACCCACGTATATCATCTATTAGTGAACTTATTAAACCACTAGCTTGGTGCAGTGGATATTGTGGATAATGTTTTGAGAAAGTGACTGAATGTCAAACTGCTATTTACTATTCTAATTAGCTGGAAACCCCCGTTTGTGATTTTCTGTAATGCCAGTCGAATAATTCCAGTTCAAAGCCATGTTTCCATTTCCCTGTCGTAATCTATAGCCTATTAGGAAAAAAATAATATACGTAACAACTAAAGTCTAGTTTAAGTTTGAGGGGGAAAAAAGAGCCTCAAAATCTCTTCAGTCTTTGAGGATATGTAGACAAAATGTGTACAAAAACCCTGAACTGCAATGTCTTTTAAAATAGTGGATCTTAATCTTTTTGATTCCTAGGCCCAGCATTATCTAGTACAATATTAAACATAATTTTTTGAAGCTTAGAACTTTAATGAAAACACTGAAACAGCATGGCTGAGGCTATACTCAGTCTTAACAATTAAGCTTTCATAATTATACATCGTCCATCACAACTAACATAGTATATTTATATTAAACTGCACACTTTGTAAATAACATATCTATCTGCACACTAATAAACATATCTGTACATTTATCTAAACAATTACATTTTTTTCCTATACTTCTATTTCTGTATATAGTACATTATTCAATTTTTCTTTTTTTCTTATTATATTAGTTTTATATTACATCCCTACTGTGTTATTCCTATGTATGTCTACACTATCATGTATGTCTGCACTATGTTTGTACTTTCTTCTACACTGGAAGCTCCTGTCATCAAGTCAAATTCCTTGTGTGTGTAAACATACTTGGTAATAAAGCTCTTCTGATTCTGATTCTGATTCTGATTCTGAAACCATTTCCAATAGCCTTTTATGATGTCATGAACATGTGACACTTTTATGACCCTTGAAAGTGTGCTGAAGCACCACTGGGCCTCAGTACCCCAATTTAGAACCCCTGTTTTAGTACCATGTTTTAACCCAATAGCCAAGGAAAATTGTTAGCCTTATAATGGTTAATTGGGATCAGCTTAATATGACAAAACAACTGAAGAGGAACAGAAAAGTGAAGACGGAGCTGCAACACATTTAACTGTAAAGAATACTTAGAATGAGTGAAGAAGTAACCCAAATCAGCAAAATGTCACAAGAACAAAGGTTTAACTTTAGAGAGAGAAATTTTGTGCAGTCAGCAGGATGTTGGTGT